CCCAGCTGGAGGCCCGCACGTCGCACGTCGACCTCTGGAGGTCATGACGTCGACCGCAGACCTCTGGAGGTCAGAGCGTCGACCGCCGACGCTCCGAGAGAAGCACGACGTCGGGGGCCTGCAGGCGCGCGGGGCAGCGGGCCCAGGCACCCGCCACCGCAATGTTTTTGCATCCGCGCTCTGGGTAGGGTTTTCGGTCCCGGATCCATTTTTGACGGTCCCGGGGCCCGATAGCGGGCCCCAGAGGCCAAAATCCAGGAGGAGGAGGGGGAGGAGGAGGGAGGGGAGGAGGAGAGGAGGAGGAGAAGGAGGAGGAGGAGGAGGAGGAGGAGGGAGGAGGGGAGGGGGGGAGGAGGAGGAGGAGGAGGAGGAGGAGGAGGAGGAAGGAGGAGGGGAGGAGGAGGAGGAGGAGGAGGATTCTTATGTATTAGTAGGAGAGGTATTATTATGAGGATTAGGAGCGGAGTGAGAGGAGGATGAGTATGAGTATGAAGTAGGAGGCGGATGGCGGATTAGATGAGGAGGAGTATTAGGGGGAAGAGGAGAGGAGAGGAGGGAGGAGGAGTAGGAGGAGGAGGGAGGAGGCGCGGGATTAGGGGAGGAGGGGAGTAGGAGGTGGGTGAGGGAGTAGGGGGGGGGGGAAAGGAGTGGGATGAGGATGAGGTGGTACGGAGGACGAGAGGTGATTAGGAGGAGGAGTATGCGACTGGAGGGGGACCGGTAGGATGGCAGGAGCGTTGCCGGTATTTGTGACATTAGGCGGAGGAAATGGAGGGGTAGAGGAGTAGGACTGACACAAATCCCATCCTCGGAGCTCTGGGGAGGCCTGCGGCGCTGGCCCGCTGGCCGGGTGGCCGGCCGCGGGGCTCGTGCCCGAGGGCTGGGCGCGCCTCGGGGGCCCCGGCGCGGCGCGGGCGGGCGCCGCGCCCGGCGGCCGCGCCGTGGAGCGCTGCGGAGGCGGGTGGCTCTGCTGCGAGCGGCCCGAGAGCTCCGGGGAAGAAGGGATGCCCATGCCCCTCGGGGGCGGCCAGGAGGCCCCAGGCGGCCTCAGGAGGCCCCAGGAGACCCCAGGATGCTCCAGGAGGCCCCAAGAGGCTCCGGGAGGCCGCAGGAGGCCCCAGGAGGTTCCAGTGAATGACCATGCGTGATATGCGAACTTATTGGGGCCTTTGGGGACCAGAAGGCAACAGAAATCCCCAGGAGGCCCCCCAGGAGGTTTCCAGGGGGCTTCCAAGAGTGGGTGGGGACTGCACGTGGGGGGGGGGGGGGGCGATCTCATGGCGTGGGCCGTGAGAGTTCCGCAGATGTCACGGCGCCCCTTCTTGCTTCATTCATCAGTCACGTCCCTGGCCCCCCTATCTGGGCTGCCCGCGTGCCCCGGGCCACGCTCTGCGCCTTCCCCTCTTGGGCGCCCCTGGATTGGCCGCCCCCGGACCTCCACACCTCATCCGTCTGCCCTCCTCTGGGCCTCCCATAGGAGGCCCTCGTCGCCACCGCCTGGGTTCGCTTCGGGACTCTGGTCAGAACGCACCCGGGGAGACGAGGAGGAGGAGGAGGAGGAGGAGGAGGAGGAGGAGGAGGAGGAGAAGGAGGAGGAGGAGGAGGAGATGGAGGAGGAGGAGGAGGAGGAGGAGAGGAGGAGGAGGAGGAGGAGGAGGAGAAGCGAGGAGGAGGAGGAGGAGGAGGAGGAGGAGGACGAGAGGGAGGTCCGGGGAGCAGGCGGTATCCGCACCTCTTGGTCTCCCCAGGAGCGGCTCGGCCTCCACGGGCTCCGCGCGCGCGTCCTGCGACGAGGCGTCGAGCTCCGACGCCAGCACGCACCGCCCAGAGTCCGCGGAGCCGCGCAGGAGGGCCAGGGAGGAAAAGCCACCCTGGCCCCGAGGAGTCTGCGTGAAAACACACACACACACACACACACACACAAAAAAACAACAAAAAACCGTGTTTTTCCCCACAGTGCTTTTTTCCACAGTGTTTTTGTTCCCACAGTGTGTGTGTGTGTGTGTGTGTGTGTGTGTGTGTGTGTGTGTGTATGTGTGTGTATGTGTGTGTGTGTGTGTGTGTGTGTGTGTGGCGTGTGTGTGTGTGTGTGTGTGTGTGTGTGTGTTTGTTTGTGTGTTTGTGTGTGTGTGTGTTTCCCACAGTGTGTTTTTTCCCACACGCGTCTGCGAAACGGCGCCGGGCGTTTACGAAACATCCCCGGAGATGCGATGGCGTGATCTTTTCAATGCGCGGTCCCCGGAAGCCTCGATCCATTCCCCAGGACCGGTTTTTCATCCTGAGTCGGTTTTTGACGGTCCCGAGGCCCAGCGAGAGCCCCCAGTGGCCGAAATTGGCCCCTAGGGGCCGAAATTAGGGGCCGAAATTTGCGAAAAGCCCGAAATTAGAGGCCGAGCTTAGGGGCAGAAGTCAGGGGCCGAAATTTGCGAAAGGCCCGAAGTTCGGAGCCGAAGTTAGGGGCCGAAATCAGGGGCCGAACTTTTGCGAAAAGCCTCCGTCGCGATCTCTTCCGTGCGTTGCCTCTCTGGGCCCCTGCCCTGTGCGAAGGCCTGCTCCTTCCCGGGGTGCGTCTGCGGAGCGGCTGCGGTGCCCGGGGGGCGAGCCGGAGCTCTCACAGGCCGGGCTCCCGCGGGCCAGGCGCCGGCGTGGCCAGAAGCTGGGCAGCGCCCACCTCTAGGCTTAAGTCGGGCCTGTCCCCCTACAGGGGGTTCTTCGACGAAAAATAGAAGATACTCCAAAAATAATAGGAAAATAGTCCCAAAATAGTCTGGGGGCTATTTGGGGGGTATTTGTTGACCTGTTTGGGGCATTTGGGGGGTATTTTCAATTTTTCGTCGAAAATCTCCCCCGTAGGGGGGCACGCCCGACATAACTCTCGGCGTTGCATGTTCCAAGCTGCCCATGCAGAGGTCCGACGTACTGAAGGAATCACGACGGAGGTTTTTCGCCAATTTCGGCCATAGGGGGCCCTCGCCGGGCTTCGGGACCGTCAAAAAACGGCTCGGGAGGAAAAACCGGTTCTGGGGAATGGTTCGAGGCTTCCGGGGACCGCGCATGGAAAAAATCACACAACCTCGGATCTTTGGGTACTTTGGCCTTGATCATCAGAATTAATTTCGAGCACCAAGAAAGTACCCAAACTGGAGGGTTTTCGCGGGCCGTGCCCTGAGAGGCGACACTCGTTCGACATGTTTCCGATCTTTTTCTGGGTGCTCGAAATTATGTCTGGGATGTGGTTCTCAAGTACGATGGAAACAACATAACTCTTGGCCTCCCATAAAAATCTTGGCATCGCTCGGGCGTGTGCTTTTTTTCCTTGGCGAGGACCATCGACCAGCATGTTTGTTTTGTTCACCTTGGGGGGGGGACAAAAAACACGCACGAAACTGACGAATGTCCAGGCAATCGACGTCCGAGCGATGTCGAGATATGGGCAGACGGGGTCGGAGTGGATGGGGTCGGAGGATTCCGCCACGTCGCCGATGCATCGGGAATGCGGCTCGATGTGGAGCCCGATTTTCTCCAGCCGACGTCGCCGATACATCCATCGGTGATGCATCGACCATGCGGCGCGAGCCTCCGACCCCACATGCGCTCTGGCCCCACCTGGGAGGCCTCTAGCAGAGGAGGGCAGCAGAGCGGTCCACACTTCCTCCTCCTCCTCCTCCTCCTCCTCCTCCTCCTCCTCCTCCTCCTCCTCCTCCCCCCGCCGCCTCCCTCTCCTCTTCCTCCTCCTCTCCTCCTCCTCCTCCTCCTCCACCTCCTCCACCTCCCCCCCTCCTTCCTCCTCCTCCTCTCCTCTCCTCCTCCTCCTCCTCCTTCCTCCTCCTCCTCCCCTCCCTCCCCCTCCTCCTCCTCCTCCTCCTCCACCTCCCCCCCTCCTCCTCCTCCTCCTCGCCTCCTCTCCTCCACCTCCTCACCTACCTCCTCCTCCTCCTCCTCCTCCATCCTCCTCACCTCCTCCTCCTCCTCCCCTCCACCCCCCCTCCTCCGCACTCCTTCTCTCCTCCACCATCCTCCTCCTCCTCCTCCTCCTCCTCCTCCTCCTCCTCCTCCTCCTCCTCCCTCTAGACATCTCCAAGGCGTCCGAATGGCTCTTTCGTCATGGGTGGAAGTCGTGTTGGGCGGCGGCCGCACGTGGGGAGGGCACTGGGTCTTCAGGAGGTGTTGCAGTTTTGGCTAGATCGTATCTCGGGCTTCACACGTTGTCGTCGGGCTTCGTACTGTCCCCTCATCGTGCTGGAGCTTGTGTTATAGATATTCCAGGAGGTTTTCAGGTCCTTGTCGGATCGATCTACCTCCACGACGTCGAAGGTCTTTCTGAGCGCAACGTGGAGATCTTGTCGCGTCTCGGAGCTGGACTTTCACATTCTGATCTCCCTGTCATTGCGGGAGGCGATTTCAACATGACTCCAGGTGAGTTTCAGAAGTCGCATTTCGTTTCGGAGTTCAAAGGCCAGATGATCACCCCAACAGACGGAGGCTACACGCTCCGCAGCACGGGGGGCCTCAAAGTATCTGATTTCTTTGTCGTCTCGGCAGGCATCGCGAAGGTTATCAGGCAGGTGAGTGTCAACTACAATTCCCCTCTCACCCCCCACTCCCCTGTGGATCTGGAGCTTTTCCCTTCGCCTGCTCAACTCAACGTTTTGGTTTTTCGGAAACCTCCCCCCCTTCCCCCCCAAAGGGCCATAGGGCCCACTCGGGAACCCCCATCTTGGGACCCTGTTCTCGACGTGCTGGAGGCGGCTCTGGTAGCTGCCAGGGCGGGGAGGGGGGCGGAAACTCAAAGGCTGCTCAATCTCACCTACAAGTGGTGGGCCAACCTTGCGGAAGTGGAGGTGGCCAACGCCACTCAATCGGTGCTTCCGGTTTGGGGTGCGAGAGGCAAGGGTCCTCAGCTTATGTGGAAGCCTGTTTTCTCGAAGGACAAGGAACCTCCTAGGCACCCCTTTCTGTACTCCGTCAGGTGGCTGTATAATCGCATCTTGGACTGCAAGGTGTATGTTTCGTCTAATTCCCAAAAGGCCAAGAATGGTGGAGTTGATTTTGCGAGGGCCCTGAGGTCCTACATTTTTCACCCTCCCCCTTTCGTGGTCGATAATCTGGGTGCCCATAAGGAGCTGCTTATCACCTTGCAGTCCATGATCACCCGTGCTGATTTGGACTCGAGCGGAGAGCTCGAGCAGGACGTTCTCGATCTGTCTCTCTCGTTCTCCGACGTGGTCGCGCAGGCAGAAGCCAGAGCTAGGGACCGCAGTTTAGCTTCCTGGCGTAGTTGGCTGAGAGAGAACATCGATCAGGGGGCCAAGCGAGCTCACATGGTCACTTCTGAACCCAAGCCCTGGAAACCTACTTCCACTCTCTCGTCCAACGGCTGTGTGGTCAGTGACCCCAGGTCCCTTCTCGAGGCTGAACGCAACAAGTTTATTCATTTATGGCGCGCTTTTGACTCCCCGCGGGAGTTGGGACCTATTGCCGATTTCTTTCCTGCCCCTGAGCTCCCCCCTTTGGACCCCAACGAGTTGGTCCGCATTTCGAGGAGCTACAAGATGTATTCGGCGGTGGGCGTGGACGGTTTCCACATGAAACATTTCAGTATGATTTCCCTTCCTGGGGTCACGGCGCTGTGTAGGATCCTGCAGGTCATGGAAATCTCCAGCATGTTGCCTTTCCAGCTTGATGCCACAGTGTTGGCGCTCCTGGGTAAACCTACTGGAGGGTTCCGCCCTATCGGGATTTTCATGGGTCCTTACCGCATCTGGGGGAAAGCGCGGCGGTGCCTTGCCGAGAGCTGGGAGGGGTCGCACGCTCGTCCCTACTTTGCGGCGGGCAAGTACCAGGGGGCCTCTGACGTTGTATGGCGGCAAAGCGTCCGCAGCGAGAGTGGGGCAACCCACTCTTTACATGCGGCTACCCTCCTGCAGGACATGTTTAAATACTACGAGCTCATTGATCTCGAGCGACTCCTCGGTCGTTGTATAAGGCTGGGTTTCCCTATTGCCATGGCCAAGTTGGCTGTGCGGGCCTACAGGGCCCCGAGGTTTCTTTCCTTGGGTGGCGGCATCGACGGTCCGTGGTACGCTTCTTCTGGAATCATAGCGGGGTGTTCGTTGGCCACGACCCTGATCAGGGTTAACGCGGTGGAGTCGCTCGATACTGTTAGGTTACGGCAGGGTTCTCAACTGGCGCTCTACATCGACGATTCTGGCCTCAGTGCTGTCGGCAGTTTCAATTTTGTTGTGGACGCCATCACGGAAGGCGCGCCCCAGCTCCACGCTGCCATCGTTGATGGCATTGGTGCGCAGGTGGCGGCTGACAAATCCAGCCTGATTTGTTCCTCGGCCAAGCTTGGCAGGGCCATTCAGGCCAAACTGGGAGTTGAGCTCACGGGTCCCATTACTTCCAGTGCTGTTAACCTTGGGGTGGACGACACGGTGGGGAAGAGTTCTCGGACCCAGGGTCGTAACAAAAAGCTTGTGATTAGGAGACGTCTTTTCATCAAACGCACTGGCCGAGTGGCTAAACTTCGTAAGACCCTTGGTTCCAGGAGAACTTTGCGAGTTTTCACTGCAGGACCGCTCCCTGGCTTGCTGTATGGCAGCGAGGTTAGAGGGGTTACTGACTACGAGCTGATGCTCATCCGCCGTGCGGCGGCCAGGACTATAAAGCCTTCAGCTGGCCAACGCTCCCTGACGGTGCTTTCCCACCTCGAAGGCGACCCTGCTTGGGTTGGGGCCGTTTCCCCGATCTTGCGGTGGCACAAGGAAGTTTGGTGCTCTCAGGTCAGGGCCTTTGAAGGCTCGATTCCTTTCAGGGAGCTGAGGCAAGCGTGGGAAGGTGTTTTTCTTCAGGATTCCCCCTCGTGGAGGGCGGTAGGTGGTCCTGTGGCCGCCATGCGCAAGTCCTTGGAGAGGATCTCGTGGACGATGAGGGACTTCGCCACTTTCGTCACTGACAAGGGGATCGAGCTTTCCATGACCCTCATGTCCCCCCAGCTTGTCAAGCACCATCTCCGCGGGGCAGTCTTCAGGGTTCTCGAGTGGGAAGCTGGTGCTAAATGGGATGTGCCTCATCGTCTGTGCTTTGACGTGGTGAAGTTCGAGCTCCGCCGCAAAAAATACTCAGCTCTCGAGAAAGGGTGTATTCGGGCTGTTGCTACGGACGCAGTGTGGACTCGTGCTAAAGCATGGCGATTGGGTTACCAGATAGACCCCACGTGCCACCTCTGCGGCTCAGCCCCCGACACGCTCCACCACCGACTTTGGGTCTGCAGGTGCCAGGAGGTTGTCGAGCTCCGTTCCAGTCTTGTTACTCCCGAGCTTGTTTGCAAGGCCCTGGAGGAGCCCAATTCGATTCGGTCTTGTTTTGGAGCTTTTGCCCACCCTGGGGATTATTTTCCTGGTCCCGCGGCCGAGTCGTCTGGCACTTTCTGGGCCAGGGAGGACCTTCCTCAGGAGGTTGGCCAATTTCCTTTCACAAACAATATTTTCACAGACGGTAGCGCATGTAAGCATATAGTTCGCGAGCTCAGCAGGGCAGGCTGGTGTTTTGTGGCTGTGGACGACCAGGGGGACCTCTTGGGAAAGCTCTACGGTCCCGTCCCCCCGTGCTACCCCCAGACTGCCCCTGCGGGC